TAGATAGATAGATAGATAGATAGATAGATAGATAGATAGATAGATAGGAGTCTGAGTGGCGCAGCAGACTAATGCTACTGTTAAAAGGTAGTATTTAGCTTCCAGCTGCCTGCAATTACTGCGAGTTCAATTCTCACCAGGTTCAAGGTTGACTCAGCCTTCCATCCTTTAAGCTAAGATAGGTAAAATGAGGACCCAGTTGTGGGGGCAATAAGCTGACTTTGTATAAAATATACAAAAGTATGAAGGCTATTGCTTAACGCATTGTAAGCCGCCCTGAGTCTCCGGAGAAGGGCGGCATATAAATTTTTTTTAAAAAGGGTACTAAGTTAAGGTACTTAAGAATGAGTGCCCTGAGGTTAGGGTTAGGGTTAGGGTTAGGGATTTTGCTTTTATCTCCTTTTATAGCCCAATGGATGGATGGATGGATGGATGGATGGATGGATGGATGGATGAATGGGAGGGAGGGAGGGAGGGAGGGAGGGAGGGAGGAAGGAAGGAAGGGAGGGAGGGAGGGAGGAAGGAAGGATTTCCTAAGCAAAAATAATTGCCTAACAATTTGAGAAACAAACAGAACAACAGTTGGGAGGACCTTGGAGGTCTTCTAGTTCAACCCCCTGCTTAAGCAGGAGACCCTATTCCATTTCAGACAAACATGGGAATAACTGAAGCTCTATAAGAAAAGGAGTGGTAGAACCTGGGGGGCAGAGTTAAAAGAGGAATCAGCCTAGAATTCCTCTATAGCCACAAGTCCCTCTTGAATTCCGTAGACTCTTATCTGACTCTAAGCAAGTACTAACCATCAGTTGAGAAGATTCTGTTGGACCTTCACGTGTGACCCTGCTCTTTTGCGTTTCATAAGCTGGTACCCCTTCCCCTGAGAACCTTGTTCATTCTGGGTTCCTTCGCTAGCAGGAAGGAGGACAACAAGAAGAGCAATGGAGAGAGGACAGCAGTCAACTAGGACCTCCAAGGGCTCTTCTTCCACTAAGGCCTGGGGCCGTTGATCTCACTTTGCAATCTGACGAGATCCGGCCATGAATGGTGTGAATGGGTTTTAATGTTTTTAATTTTTAAATGTTTTTATAGTGCTTTTTTGAGTGTATTGTGAGCCGCCCTGGGTCTTCGGAGAGGGGCGGCATATAAATTGAATGAATGAATGAATGAATGAATGAATGAATGAATGAATGAATGAATGAATGAATAAATAAATAAATAAATAAATGGCTACTGCTAAAGCAATGGTTGATTCAAGAGCAGGAGGTATGGTGATGAAACCATAGTGGTTCTGCTCGTCCACTAGGCTCCAAGGCCTTATGTCATGGGTGTCAAACTTGCCACATCACGTTGCCGTCACATGACGTGTGTTTTTTCTCTTCGCGGAGTTAGGGTGGGTGTGGCCTGCGTGTGACTCATCCATCCACCGGGCCGCCAGTTTGATATCTCTGCCTTATGTCATCAGAGAGGCTTGTTTTGTTGAAAGAAAAAAATTGAAGGCATAAGGAATAGGGAAGGAGGGAACCCAGCAGATGTTATGGGCCCTAAGACAGCTGCCTTCCCAACATTATGTGTGTGCCCCACAGGACAGAAACACAGGATCCTGGTTTCTGACAAATGTAGACTTTATACAGGATTAACTTACCTGTGACAGCATCATAAAATTCCTCTTCACTATTCATTCTTTTAGTTGGTTTTTATCTCTCTTCAGTATCTCATTAATGCATAGTTGTTATTGACGCGATCACGTTTTCATAAAAGCAAAATAGTTCCAGATGTCCTGAATAGAGAGGAGGAAGAAAAACAATAATGTTCTTTATTTATCTGGGTAATCTCAAAACACCCAGCCCCTTATTTGTTTCATGCTGTTACCCAACGTAATTAGTACATATTAAATTTCTAAATTACATTGGGCAACTTCATAAAATAAATTAAGCAATTACAGTGTGCAGGCTACTTTGATTTGCAACATCTCTTGTCAGGTTTTGTCTAAACCAGCCTTCTCAAACTAAGGAATTTAATAAGAAAAAAATTCAGCACAAAATTGAGGAATTAAAACTTAGCAAATTCTGTTCTACCACCTGAGTTATGGAGAGAGAGATGGGTTTTTAGATTACTGCTCTGGGAAGTTAATACAGGTAGTCCTCAACTTACAACAGTCCATTTAGTGACCATTTGAAGTTACAATGCCCTTGAATAAAGTGACTTATGACCTTTTTTCACACTTATGACCACTGTAGCACCTCCATGGTCTCGTGATTTACATTTGGATGCTTGGCCACTGGTTCATATTTATGACGGTTACAGTGTCCCGGGGTCATGTGATCACCTTTTGTGACCTTCTGACAAGCCAAGTCAATGGGAAAGCAGATTCTCTTAACAATGGTGTTACTAATTTAACAAGTGCAGTGATTCACTTAACAAACGTGACAAGAAAAGTTGTAAAATGGGGCAAAACTCACTTAACGAATTTCTCACTTAGCAACATACATTTTGGGCTCATTTGTGACCGTTAAGTCAAGAACTACCGGTAAAGTTAAAACATAAGAAAGTGATGTATTGAAAGGAAAAATACAGCAAGGATATTTTTAAAAATTAACCTTGATCACAATCAGGTTGTAAAAAAAAAATGGACTTGTGATCATAATGTTATTTTAGCCATCAAATCTTACTTTTTGTTAGATTGGAAAAGAAGTGACATATTTCTAATGATTCTATTTACAGAATAATAGAGTAAATAAACCACAGAACATGCAGTAAAAGGAATGCTTCGGTACGTCCATGGGACCTCAGTGCTGTGCAAACTCCAATGCTTGCCAGTTGGCTTTTGGGTGCAATTCAAGATGCACATCATCCCCTATAAAGCTCAACATAGAATAGACTACCCAAAATATCACTTAAATATGAGCCAGCAGTCTGTGGCAGCAGCCAAAAAAGCTAACACAATTCTTGTTTGTATAAAAAGAGGCATAGAATCAAAATCACATGAAGTATTAGCACTGCTTTATAAAGCCTTAGTAAGGCCACACCTGGAATACAGGTAGACCTCGTCTTACAACAGTTCATTTACTGACCATTCAAAGTTACAACAGCAGTGAAATTCCCTGCGCCGGCACCAGCTCAACCCCAATGAGTTTCACAGACTACTCAAATGAAGCCAACACTAGTCCTCAAGACAAAGGCAAAGGCAAGTGCAGTCCACTAGGCAAAAGCAACAAAGGCAAAGGCAACAGCTGAAGAGACACAATCCAAAGTTCAAGGCAAGAACACATAGCTAGGAAACAAACACATTGTTCCCAGCATCGCCTCCATCTGTCTGCTGTGTTAAACAGTGAATTTTTAGTGCAGCCCATCAAGAAAGGTGAGGCTGCCTCCTCATGAGTAATCTGGCTGACCTTCGCTGTTCCAGCCTTTTCTCTGCCCTAGTGTTTTGGGATCAGATGCAGAAGGTAGTTCCTCTTCCTCTTCGCTGATCGGCTGCAGCTACATGCTTTCCCCACCTGAAGCCTCTGGGTTGTCCTGTTGCAGCTCTGCTTCAAGCCAAATCATTCTCAGACAGCTGCTTGGAGCCATTGACCAACTCCCCTCCTGATGTGCCCAGAACTGGTTCATCTTCCTCCAAGCTGATATTTGGAGAGGTATCTGGAGAAGCGTGCGGGGGAGTCATCACAGTCCATTGTAACTCTGAATGGTCACTAAGTGACTAGTTGTAAATTGAGGATTACCTGTATATCTTTTCTGCATTTGCTGCCAGGTATGATATCTTCCCAGTGATCTATGTGGCTCACACCTTGATTTTCAGAAAAACTTTGAAAGGCACCAGGCTAGAAAGTAGGAGACCATGAGTTCAAGTCACTTTCTTAGTTGTGAAAGCCAATTGGGAGACTTTGGCCAAATTACTCTCATCCCAACCCACGTCACAGGGTTGTCGTTGAAGAAAAATTAGAAGGCAGGTAGGTATTTGTAAAAAAATAATAATAAAGATGGGATATATATATATATATATATATATATATATATATATAAATATATATATATATATATATATATATATATATATATATATATTATATGTATGTATGTATACGTAATTTTCTTACTTCTTCGTAGGTTTATGTGTGTTTTTCTTCTAGCCAGTGTTTCCCTACGTAACCAAGGTTTTTTGTAGCTCCAGCTCAGTAGAATCACATCTACTACTCAACTCGGTTTCTGGGCTTTTTTCTTTTCTAACAGCTAGCAAGCTCTAGTTAGAGCTTGCTAGCTGTTAGAAAAGAAAAAAGCCCAGAACCGAGTAGATGTGATTCTACTGAGCTGGAGCTACAAAAAACCTTGGTTACATAGGGAAAACCTGGCTAGAAGAAAAAAAAAAACACACACACACACACACAGATAGATATATATATATATAAATAATCTTTTAGCCAGGTTTTTCCTACGTAACCAAGGTTTTTCTGCAGCCCTAGCTCAGTGGAGTCACATCCACTCGATTCTGGGCTTTTTTCCTTCTGGCAGCCAGCAAGCCTTTGCTGCCTGGTGAGAGACTTATATAGCTCAGTGGCTAAAAGAAAAACACACATAAATCCTACGAAGAAGTAAGAATATATAAGAAGTAAGAGCTTGCTAGCTGTTAGAAAAGAAAAAAGCCCAGAACCGAGTGGATGTATGTATGTATGTATGTATGTATGTATGTATGTATGTATGTATGTATGTATTTATTTATTTATTTATTTATTTATTTATTTATTTATTTTCTCCCAGGCCCTGGAATAGGGTGGGTTGTCAAACTTCTGTCAGTTTTATTGCTTTCTGTATGGTTCTTCTTCTGAGTGATGATGTTCCTTTATATTTCTTGCTTTTAAAAAGTCTAACGAAACAATCAATAAAAGCCTCTACAATGGCTTTTATTGCATTCTCATACAAGGCTCGTTGTTAGTAACAATCCAAAATTCTAATTGCATAATTGGTTCATTAGTAGGAATGTTTCTATTATTTATTTAAAGCATTTATATAGCTGCCATCTTATAACAAACTCTGGGCGGCTCCTAATCAAAACAACATAAAAACGCTGTTAAAAACAAACTCATTAAAAACAAAACCCTGGCACTAAGTCAAGCTTCTGATGTACAGCCATTAATCTTATCCCAAGCACTTGGGGGGAAAGCCGTGTCTTCAGGGCTTTATGGAAAACTAGGAGGGTAGATGCCCACCAAACTTTAGGGGGCAGAGTGTTCCATAGGGCAGGGGCAGCCCACAGAAAAGGCACTGTTTCCTAGCTTCCATCAAATGGCAATATTTAGGGCAAGGGTCGGCAACCTTAAACACTCAAAGAGCCACAAAGGTCCTAACCGGAAGCCCCCCATTCAATTCTGGAGCTGACCGGAAGTCCAGTTCCCCCACCATAGAGTCTCCTCCTAGCACAGCATCCTTTTTCCTCTACCTGCCCTAACCGAAAGCCCTATCAATTGTGGAGCCAACCAGCGACAGGGAGCCGCAGCAGAGGGATAAAAGAGCCACATGCGGCTCCAGAGCCGCGGGTTGCTGACCCCTGATTTAGAGGGAGGGACTAGAAGCATGCCAACCCCATCTGACCTGGTAGAAAGTGAAGATGTCCTTAAAGAAAAGCGCTCTGCAGATAAACCGGCCCTGTCCTTTAACAATGATTATTTATTTATTCCATAGGCATTATGGAAATGTTTTGATTTTATTACAGGGAATCCTCAACGTATGACAACAACTGAGCTCAACATTTCAGTTGCTGAGTGAGATAGCTGTTAAGTGAGTTTTGCCCCATTTTGCCCCCTCTTTCCTGCCAGAGTTGTTACGTGAATCACTGCATTTGTTAAGTTAGTTAACACGGCTGTTAAGTGAATCTGGCTTCCCCATTCACTTTAATTGTCAGAAGGTCACGAAAGAAAATCACATGACCTCGGGGCACTGCAACCGTCCTAAATAGCACCTGAATTTTGATCACACGATCAGGGGAATGCCACAACGGCTGTAAGTGTGAAAAAGCAGTCCTAAGTCACTTTTTTAAGGGATGTTGTAACTTCGGTCACTAAACGAACTGTTGTTAAGTTGAGAACTACCTGTAATTTGTATATAGTTAGTATCAAAATAAATACATTGATTGAAATAATTCTTTATTTTTGTTTGTTATAGGTTAGCTGTAGAGTTGGCATTCAACATCTCTTAATGCTAGCCATCTCAATGACAGAAGAATTACAGAACGACAACATTTTCAGAACTCGGGTGCAGCTGGTGGCAAGTCGAAAGGTGACCAACCCGTTCATTTGTAATGTCAACAATATTGACATATATATAAAATAAAAATATAAAAATATAAAAATCCTTCCATTCCCCACTATCCTATCAGAGCTGAAGAAGCATCTTGGATGAGAAGCGAAACATCTTCAAAAGAAAAAAGAAGGAAATCCAGTTGCCTCCTGAACAAGCACCTTTGGGACAACCATGACCTGGATGACTGAGAATCTCTACAGACTTTTTTTTTTTTTTTAATTTGATTTATATGCCGCCCTTCTCCGGAGACTCGGGGCGGCTTACAATGCACTAAGCAATAGCCTTCATCCTTTTGTATATTTATACAAAGTCAGCTTATTGCCCCCACAAACTGGGTCCTCAATTTACCTACCTTAGAAAGGATGGAAGGCTGAGTCAACCTTGAGCCTGGTGAGATTCGAACTTACAGTAATTGCAGGCAGCTGGTCTTAATAACAGGGTGCTTTAGACCACTGTACTACCAAGGCTCTTTTAGCTATACAA